CATGGCAATAAATAAATCTGATTCTGATCTGAGTGCAGTAGGATGTTTTCTAATGTTAATTGGACCATAGAACTACTTATTTTGCATCAAATGAGGATAAACCGTTTTAAAAACAGGCTTTTTAATAAAATAGCGTTGACGTGTTTGTGCATTTGTTTATTCAACATAAGCCTAATAATGATTAGATCTGTCTAATGTAAATTCTCTGTAGTTTTTATTTAACCATTTCCTGCTGCTTTTCTTTAAACAGAACAGAACCAATGTTCTGCAGGTTATAGGTTTGTTTTACATTTTTGAATAAAGAAAAAACCAATTTCAATCTATTACAGGTCAGCATGCACTGTGCTGCACATTTGCATCAGTGCTGGTGAAGTACTGGGCCTGGACAACCACACATGAGGATGAACCTGAGGAAGATGTGTGTGGAGGAGGTCAGTGGTGCTCTGTCCTGGAGGAGGAGTTACCAGAAAATCACCACTACTGTTAACAGGCAAGTCATTTATGTAGGAACCTCTATTAAAAACAACACTGTGGTTTTATTTGCTAAAGCATCACAATTGTTATACCAGTGGATCCATAAACCATCTCCTCATTTCATATTTCTGAATACATCTTAGAGATGTAACAGCCGTCGTCTGAGCCAGCCCAGCAGTCCCTGTAGATGGACGATGGAGTAGACGGTGAGAGGAAGCGTCCCAAAGCTCTCTCTGCAGACCGTCCTGTATGATGTTCCTCTGACCAGAAACGTCCAGCCACGGGTCTGCTCCAGCCCTCCATCCACGTCTGGATCCTCCTACAGCAGATCCAGCTGCACTGTTAAAGACTTCCTGCTCACTCAGTTTAAATAAATGATCCAGGAAGAGTCACTCAGGTTAATCCTGCTTTAACTGTACATAACTGGTCCATACTGATTTTGATCTGTAAATAAGTGTAACGTATTATAAATAATCTTGTCTCCTTACCATTTTTTCATTTTCTGTTCATGTAACATGTTCAAAAGCATCTGTAATAATAAAACTGGTGATAAAATCAATGACAAGAAAGAGTTATCAGTTAGTATTTGCTTTAATAAATGTGTTAAAATATCAAACAACTAAATAACATTAACACAATAACAGTAGAAGGCCTCTCTCCCAGGAGGACCACCAGGTAAAGCCTCTCCTGACCCTGGACACCTGCAGTCCTACAGAGAAAATCAGATCACAGGTGACAAAAAGGCAATAAACACATTTTTACATTTATCCACATGAGAAGATAAAATTATTTTCTTCACACAAACAATTTTTACTTCATTAAAAGGTGTCAGCTGTGTAAATCCCTGATTATAAAACTACTTTTCACAGCAGAACACACGATAAACTACTGTTGTCGTAAACAGCTTCACTCTTCATCTCTAAGCTTAATAAAAATGGTCTGTTGTCCCTAAAACAAATGACAAGTTTCATTCGCCACACACACACACACACACGGGAATAACTACGGGACTTACGATACAAACTCGTTCTGGCTGATTTCTGCTTAAATTTTCATTTAAAAAACAAACATACAAACAAAAAAACGTCTATAAACAGAACCGCTTTAAGCTTTTTGGTTTTCTACCACTAGTTTTTAAACAAACTTAAGTTTAAAACTTCGTAGTTTTCCCCATTTTCTCTTCCTGTTGAAAAACCACAGCCGGCGCGCAAAGCATGCTGAGATAGCCTTGTTCTGTGAGGATACGTTTTCTGCTCGTAAACAAGCACTGTGGGAAAATGTGGTAAAGATCTCTGTCTGAAAGTGACCAATCACGTTAGGGAAGGCGGCTCCTTGGAACCCGCCCCCCAAACTGTCAAAAGTGAAACTTGTCCGATAGAGTGGAATTTCTACTCGAGAGCAGAGCAGGCTGCGCGAGCGTGTGTTAACAGTTCCACACGCGTAGTACCCACACTTACGAGTGACTGCAACAATTGTCTGAGCTTGATTGAATACAATCTGTTCTCAGGTAATTCTAAACAAGCAAGGTGCTTTTTCGCACTCGCGAATAGTTTAAAACACGTGCGGAGGACTTTTTGAGCGCTAGTGGATGGGAACTTATCCTCTCACGGATGTTTAATTATCCTCTCGTGATTGTGCGTGCTCTCGTGAGACCTTATTGACATAAAATTGACTCCATACCTAAAACCAAAAATGACTTGTGTTCACAAGAGGTATGGTGGCAAGGTTGTAGCACTTCGTCTTCCAATCATAACTCAGGAAATAGCGGGACACACCAAGGTACGCCTTTGTAGCAAGGCTGGTCCACACGTCAGCAGTCAGGGACCATCGACAGCTCAGAGGGTCTGCTTTACCGTAAAGATAAAAGATATTAAAGTTAGTTTATTTACCACATTAATAATTCTGTTATATCAAATAAAGTAGGTTAAGATTTAACACAGAGTAAATGTTTTATGCTTTAAAGCCCCAGTGTGTGATATTTTTACCTGTTTACAATAAATCCTGTGTTTCCAGTTCACAAACTTGTCCTTTATCACTAATATTTCTCACCAACATCAATTCTAAATATTCCTCTCAACTTGAAATTATACATTTTAAATACATAAACTGTGGTCGACGCCTTATGGTCATCCACCATCTTGAAATACAGTAGCTGTTGAGGGACATACGAGCTCCGAGCTGTGCATTTGGAGCATTTGGACTATGACTATAACCTGAAAGAACCAGCAGAAGGCAGCAGTGCACCCTGGAAGCATGGAGTCTGCTAATTGAACTAAGAAGTAGAAGAGACTAGCTTCACCGTTGCTGTTCTTGTTAGTTTGAATAATAAAAAAATTAAATCAAAAGACACATGAAGTTTGACAGTTTGTCATCATATCTAGAAGCCGTTCAGATCCCCACCCGCTATTAGCTGGACATCAGCCTTCGAGTGGTGTCCCTCCGACATTCGCCTTTTCTTTGTACCAGAACTCTTGATCCAGTCCCAACGTGTCAGTACCAAAGTCCTTAACTCAAGTCTCCTCTCTTTTGTGTGTAGTTCTGTTCTTTCCTGCAGCCTGCCGTCTCCCAACACATTCCAGCGCTCGTCCGCTAGCCAGTGGCTAAAGCAGCGTTGTTTACGTGATCTCCACGGTGTGTCCCTGGCTCACTAACCCTCGTTCACCAGCCATGGCGCGGCCAGTGATCGCTCCATAAAAGATCGTTTTCTTTCTTTTTCTATATCTTTTAGCTGGAAGCTAGCTTGTTTACAAAGCTGCCCCTGTCTATGTGAAACGGGTGTTGTGGGAAATTACGTTCCCCTGTAATATTCTGTTGCCCTTAGGCAGTCAAGAGCAAATATTTCCAAACTGTCAGAACTTATAGTCCATTATGAGGACTAAACTACCTCAAATAACAGATGGTTAAGCTGAGTGAGATTACATTTTTTTTACATAACGTTCAATAACGATAAATTAGCTTGCTGCAAAAAAGTGAACAAGATGTTTTTACTAGGAGCGTAACGGTACGCTAAACTCGTATTCGGTTCGGTTCAGTGTTTTGAAGAGCTCGTTTGGATTAATTTTCCGTATATTATTATTAGATTTATTTATTTAATAACTGAAGTGCCTCCTATAGTGAGCAGAAGCAGGTGTCATCCTGGCTGCTAATCAAGCATGATGTCTTTAATTATTTCACAGGGTATTTGCACCACAGACATATATACGTAGATGCCCCGTGGACTGGCGCTGTCTACTGGAGATGCCGTTGTGGTGCCGACCACCATTTTACATAGATTAGCCCCCAGTGCATTCATTTCTACTGAGGAAGGGGCTTATACCCAACTAAAAACCACATTTTATCAGCTTTTTCATAAAATCAAGAACAAGGTACGGCATGATAATTAAAATAAAATTAAATAAAAATAAATATTAAATATAAAATCATATCAGGTAGGCTAGAAAAGTCACTAGTAATACCACGTGATCTGTTTCAATAGTACGCTGGTTGTTATAACTGTAGTCTACACAGAAACGGGCATAGCTCCTCCTCTGCCTTGACTTTGGAGAGGGAGGAGACCCATCAAACATGGCGGCGATGCTGTTACACTCTCCAGTACCTGATGAGGCGTTTACGTATTCATGTCTATGATTTGCGCAGCTCACTCTCATACAGACGAGTGACGTGTCGTCTGATGAGTGGTTGTGTTGATCAGATGCAGGAAGTTGTGACCTAGACTGAAACAGCTTAGGAATTAGATCCAAAGCTGCATTATGGGTACTGGAAAGGTGAAATCTAAGCCCCTCCCCCTATTTAACCCTAACACAGAATAATCAGGACCATGATGGGGACCTTTCTTCTTGTAGAGTTTAGATGTTCTTAGTTTTACAACCATCATGTTTTTCAGAACCCCACTTGACCGTGAGCCTGCTACCTGTTAGCATTAGCTAATCTGCCCATAGTTACACTTTTCATCTGAAACTTTGGACCGTCTGTGTCTTTGCTAGTGTCTTTATTTTCCTCCACAGCTCCTATCAGCACATTGTGGACCAGTAAAAACCATCTTCCCTACAAAATAACAAGCAACTTACCTTGGTTCAGTAAAGTTCTGGGGAAAAAGTGACTTGAAAAGATGTTGTGCGAGTGGTACATTTAAAAATATTTTATCGCACAGAGTTTTGTCATCAATACAGCCCTGAATCCCATGGGTGGTTGTGCCGGTTTCCACCTGTAACAACACTATGAGGATCTAGAACTTCCTGTTAGACTGAAGCTGTGGTAGGAACATGAGGATCTGTCAGATCAGATCTGTATTAGCGGTCCCATTCCCAGAACCTAAAACTTGTATGTCCAGGTGTTTCAGTCCTGTTCTGCTGGCTGGATTCAGGACACGTTGTAGGAATTACGCCTTCAGTCTGGCTGGGGAACATCTTGGGGTCCCACTGGGAGAGCTGGTGTCTTGAGAGGGTAGTGTGTGCCTCTCTGCTGGGGAGATGGACAGATGGTGTTGCTGAATATTTCTGAAGATGGTGTTTCTCTGCTCCTGTCAGGAGAAACTGGGAGCTGTGGTGGACAGCCTGTGTTTGGAGGCTGTAAATAAAATCCTGAGGATCATTGAGCCGACCCCTGTGAAGCAGGATGGAGCTGTGGGAGAAGCTCCTCCTACACCTGAGGAGACCTGTGAGGGGTTAAGGACGGCTCAGACAGGTGATGTTTACATCTGACCTTTAATCTGTAAAGTTTAAGGAGGGACAGAAAACGTAACCCAACCCCTAGTCGAGATTAGAAAAATGCCATGAAAGTGGGCGTTGCCAGGAGGCACAGAGCGGCGTGGCCTAATGTGGGGAAATTCCATCCTGGGAGGGAGGGGGAGTGGGAGTAGACTGTACCTATGACATGAAATTGTTCCAGCTCATCAGTCACAAGTTTAAAATGCAGTAGCCACTGTTCCACCCACAGGGGGGAGCACAAAGTCGTTATTAGACCTAGTTTCTAGATTTAATCAATTTTACACAAACATGTTAAAAGATGCACAGAAACAGAAAGATTACATTTGTAAAGACCCAATTATACAGTTTATAAGCAAAAGAAAGTTATATTGGGGTTTAGTTAGACTTTAAGGATGTTTGCTTTTAGCTTTAGCTCAACACTAGTCCAGGATAAGGTTCCTGAACATTAAAACTATGTCCGTGGGATAAATAGAATTTATATCTAAGGAACCACAACAGAGCCATCAAGGTTGGTTTGGTTCTGTTGGTTCACGTTTAAGTAACTCGTGTGTGTTTAAGGTGATCTGGTCTTCCTGATGGTGCTCGACTGTTTCCTGTAATGCAGCTGGAGTGTTTAGTGGTTTTTAACATTTCTGTGTGATTCAGATGAAGAGGCAGGTGTCCGGACCTCGCCTACAGAGGACACCTATGTCCTGGTTGATGGGGTCAGTGTGTGAATCCAGCAGTCAAAGATATGGTCTAAAGGTGTTATCAGTGATGGAGCTTTTCTCATTTCAGAGCTCTGCTGTTGATCCAAATTGTCTTCTGGTGTCACTGCCCGGGGACGCTAATGATGATGTGGATGCTGAAGGTAAGTTGATCTGATGGAGACTGAAGGCTGAGCCCTGAGGAACGTCATGACTCATCACAGATGCTGTAACTGACTTTTTTCAGTCTGTATTAGGTAGAAAGTTTTAGATAATAATACAGGTGCTGGCCAGTAAATTAGAATATCATCAAAAGGTTGAAAATATTTCAGTAATTCCATTCAAAACGTGAAACTTGTACATTATATTCATGCAATGCACACAGACCAATGTATTTCCAATGTTCATTACAATTAAATTAGATATTCATAAGTGACAACTAATGAAAACTCCAAATTTGGTATCTCAAAAAATTAGAATATTCTGAAAAGGCTGAATATAGAAGACACCTGCTGCCACTCTAATCAGCTGATTTACTCAAAACACCTGCAAAGGCCTTTAAAAGGTCCCTCAGTCTTGTTTTGAAGGCACCACAATCATGGGGAAGACTTCTGACTTAACAGCTGTCCAAAAGACAATCATTGACACCTTGCACAAGGAGGGCAAGACACAAAAGGTGATTGCTAAAGAAGCTGGCTGTTCGCAGAGCTCTGTGTCCAAGCACATTAACAGACAGGCGAAGGGACGGAAAAAATGTGGTAGAAAAAAGTGTACAAGCTCTAGGGATAACCGCACCCTGCAGAGAATTGTGACGACAAACCCATTCAAAAATGTGGGGGAGATCCACAAAGAGTGGACTGCAGCTGGAGTCAGCGCTTCAAGAACCACCACGAGGAGACTCATGAAAGACATGGGATTCAGGTGTCGCATTCCGTGTGTCAAGCCACTCTTGAACAAGAAACAGCGCAAGAAGCGTCTCGCCTGGGCCAAGGACAAAAAGGACTGGACTGATGCTGAGTGGTCCAAAGTTATGTTTTCTGATGAAAGCAAGTTCTGCATTTCCTTTGGAAATCAAGGACCCAGAGTCTGGAGGAAGAGCGGAGAAGCACATAATCCACGTTGCATGAGGTCCAGTGTAAAGTTTCCACCGTCAGTGATGGTGTGGGGTGCCATGTCATCTGCCGGTGTTGGCCCACTCTGTTTCCTGAGGTCCAGGGTCAATGCAGCCGTCTACCAGGAAGTTTTAGAGCACTTCATGCTTCCTGCTGCTGACCAACTTTATGGGGATGCAGACTTCACCTTTCAACAGGACTTGGCACCTGCACACAGTGCCAAAACCACCAGCACCTGGTTCAAGGACCATGGTATCCCTGTCCTTGATTGGCCAGCAAACTCGCCTGACCTTAACCCCATAGAAAATCTATGGGGTATTGTGAAGCGGAGGATGCAATACGCTAGACCCAACAATGCAGAGGAGCTGAAGACGACTATCAGAGCAACCTGGGCTCTCATAACACCTGAGCAGTGCCACAGACTGATCGAGTCCATGCCACGCCGCATTACTGCAGTTATTGAGGCAAAAGGAGCCCCGACTAAGTATTGAGTGCTATACATGCACATTCTTTTCATGTTCATTCTTTTCAGTTGGCCAACATTAGAGAAACAAACATTTTTTCATTGGCCTTTAGAATATTCTAATTTTCTGAGATACCAGATTTGATGTTTTCATTGGTTGTCACCTATAAATATCAAAATTAAACGTAATAAACATCGGAAATACATTGGTCTGTGTGCATTGCATGAATATAATGTACAAGTTTCACGTTTTGAATGGAATTACTGAAATATTTTCAACCTTTTGATGATATTCTAATTTACTGGCCAGCACCTGTAATGATAATAAAATATTTACAACAATAATAACTATAACAATAATAATAATAATAATAATAATAATGATAATTATGATGATGATAATAATAATGATAATGATGATAATAATGATAATGATAATAATAATGATGATATTAATGATAATGATGATAATAATAATAATAATGATAATAATAATAATAATGATGATGATATTAATGATGATAATGGTGATAATAATAATGATGATTATGCTGATGATAATAATAACAATGATGATAATAATAATAAGAATGATAATGATAACAATGATATTAATAATTATATGATGATAATAATATTAATGATAATGATGACAATAATAATGATAATGATAATAATAATAATAATGATAATTATAATAAAGATAATGATGATAATAATAATGATATTAATAATGTTATGATGATAATAATGACGATGATAATAATGATACTACTACTACTAATAATGATGATGATAATATGATAATAATACGGTAATGATAAGGATGATAATAATAATATTTATAATAATGATGATAATAATGATAATGGACTGGCACTCTGTCCAGGGTGTACCCAGCCTGATTGCCCATTGACTGCTGGAGATAGGCACCAGCCCCCCCGCGACCCTATGTGGACAACGTGGGTTCAGACAATAGATGGATAATGATAATAATAATAATAATATGTTCATAATGATGATGATGATAATAATAATAATGATGATCATAATTATGATGATAATATTGATAATAATAATTATGATAATAATAATAATAATAATATTGAAAATAATAATAAAGATAATGATCATCAAAATAATAATTATGATGATATTAATAATAATAATTCTTATTATTATGATAGTAATGCATTCTTTTTGTAAGCGCCTTTCAAGACTCTCAAGGTCGCCGAACATAAAACAAACACAAGTAGCAGAACTTAAAACCACACCAGCAAATCAAGTAGAGATGAGATCAATGTGCATGGATAACATAGAGGTACATAAAACACATCAACTCAGGTAATCTGGCTACAGCGCCTCCTACTGGTGAGCAGCTTCAGTTTGACCGATGCTCTGTTGGCCTCAGGTGGAAGGAAATGCAGTTCCTCCGAGGTGTTGAAGGACCTCCCCTTCCCCGCTCCCCCTCACTCTGATGACCACAAGTATGCTCGATCATCATCGGCACCAGCTGCTGCTGCCTCTGTAGAAGAGGGTGGAATCAGGGGGACTCGCAGAAGCCAGAGGAGAGAGAAGACAGTCAGCTGGAGAGCAGACAAGCTCTTGCAGTGTTCCCGGTGCAACAAGCTGTTTCCAAATGCCGAGCGGCTGACCGATCACCAAAGGAAGTCCCACCCACTGTGCTCAGTGTGTGGCGTGGTGCTCAGCGGCATCCTGAAGCTTCGTGAGCATAAGATCAAAGAGCATGGGCTGCTCCCATACAGCTGTGACTTCTGTCCAAAGAGATTCAACCACAAGGCCCACCGCGACCTGCACGTGAAGACACATCATACCGGTGAGAAGAACTGCCACTGCGACGTCTGTGGGAAGGGCTACTCCTGCGTCAGCATGCTCAAGAGCCACAGGCTAACCCACTTTGATAAGACCTTCATCTGTGACGTCTGTGGCAAGGCCTTCTACCACGCTTGTCATCTAACACGTCACAAGCTAGTGCACCAGGAAGTCCGGCCGTACACCTGCTCTACCTGTGGGCGGGGCTTTACCCAGGCTGCCAATCTGCGCAGCCACCAGGTGACGCACAATGGAGAGAGGCAGCTCTGCTCAATCTGTGGGAAGAGCTTTCGCTGCCTAAAGAACCACATCATCAGTAAACACGCCCATGAGCTGGCCCCCTCCGACGCCGTCATCAGCTGCGATGTCTGCGGGAAGAAGTTCCCCAACCAGTCACAGCACAGAGCGCACCGACGCAGCCACACAGGGGAGAAGCCCTTCCACTGTGACGTGTGTGGGAAGAGCTACCGGCTGAAGGAGCTGCTGCGAGACCATCGCTACACACACACAGGTGATAAGCCATACAGGTGCTCGCTGTGCGCCAGGAGCTTCAACCTGGCCTCCAGCTTCCTGAGGCACCGTAGCATCCACAGCGGGGAGACACCATTCAGCTGCAGTGACTGCGGAAAACACTTCCGCCTGCTCACCTTCCTCAAAGCTCACTTGCAAACCAAAGCTCACCTGAAGTTGGTGCAGCAGAGGCGAATCAGAGTGTCTTCTGACCTGTGACTTTCTTTTAGGTCCTCCCCCTACTTTGGTTCTTCTGTACCCTCCTGAAACATCTACCCATCTTCATGTCTTTAGCCTGAAGACTCAGTCCTCTGTGGAAATGGTTCTCCAGTCAGCCATAAAATCACCACAGAAGAAGAAAAGATGTTTGTAGGAAAGTTTATTAATAAAACACCATTCACAGAAGCGTCTTCACAAATGATCACAAGACTGGAGCTCAAACATCCCATTATAATAGCTGATGTTGTTTAGAGTCTCCAACAGCTGCTGGAGTCCTCCTGCAGAGCTGATGTTAGAGTCTCAGCCACCGAGGTCCACCAGGAACCAAAACGCTTCACTTAATGTTACTAAATATAAAAGACCCGTACTGAACTGGTCCATTTAGGGAAAATATTGCCCAGAATGAGTCATCCTGGCTGGTTGTCCTCTGGACCTGGTTCTCAGTCATCCAGGTCATGGCGATCCAAAAGGGTTCAAATGAAGGCAACTGGACTTCTTTGGTTTTTTGAAGACATTTCTGATTTATAAGCTGTAGCTGTCTGTTGTTGCTTAACGAGCAGAAGCTACCTGGCATGGTGCGTCTATAAGATACACCGTAGCGGTAACATTAATCTGATGTGCCGGCACGGTGTGTTTTGTAAAAAGGGTCATAGCTAGCTTCTTTTACTCCTCTCTCAAACCATCTACCTTCTCTGTCCAGAATGTGGACTTTGTCATCTTCAAAGGTGTGTCCTTGTCCTTCAGGTGTAGGAGGACTGAACAGGCGGCTCCTGTGTTGTGCGTAACACCAATAAAAGGTTATTCTATTCCAAGTGATGTTTTTTCAGAGTTAAAGCATGGTTTTCCTGTTTGAAGTTGGTAATTCTATTTTATTGATGCTGCTGTAATTTGTTGTTGTTCAAACCTGGAGTCAGATTAAAGGACCTATACAACAATTAATCCCACCTTTGTGTTAGAGCAGTAGGCTTAATCACCTTTATGGTGACTGCTTGTTAATCTGAGGCCTGTTTCATCTGTTAAAGGAGCAATCCACCATTGCCATGGTTGAACAGATGTGTTGAGACAACATGTTTGTTTCCAGGTTTAAATCATCATCGGACAAACAAACAACAAGCTAATCTTGTTAATCTTCTTACAGCTTTAATCTGAAACCAAACAGCTATAATGAACAGCATTAGACATAAAACCACATGTGTTGTTTTATTCATGTTTTTATGAGAGGCTTCACTAAACTGGGTACGGGGTCATCTCCTCGGTGATAAAAGACCAATCGACATTCTAAATTGCACTTAACATGAAATCATATCAAAAGGGTTCAGATGAAGGCAGCTGGACTTCTTTGATTTCTTGAAGACGTTTCTCTTCTGTAATGGAAAATAGTGTAATGTGGGCTAAATAAATTGCTTTAAAAGCTCTTTATTTCTATTCTCATTACTTGTGACCAATAGCTGTAATATTCTATTAATTATATAATATCACCTTGCTTCGTCTTAGGATGATTAATTAGAAGGTTCTAGGATTCTTTTAATTATTAAGGGATCGTTCATACTTCGTTTATGATCCAAGAACCAGTCAGTGTTTGCAAACAAATAAGAATTTATTTTATAAACAATTAAGTCTTGACAAATGGTTTCAACTATTATCCTGTGGGTGGATGTAACTAAAAGATGGGTTTCTGAAAACTATATGTGAATATGAGATGATGAATCAGAATCTCCGTATCTTCAGAGAGGTGCGTTCTGGATAAAAGAATTTGGTTTGCAGATAAGCTATGAGCTGTTATTTATCAAACTGCATACAGACGCTATCTGTGTGTCTACATTACCATAGAGGCACCCTCTTGGTGGATCCGAAAGTCAAGAGTGGTCGGATGACCGCTGGCACCGGAGGGCTGTAGAGTACCGAGGTGCCGTCCTTTCAGTCCTAGAGATGTGTCTCGGGTCACGACAGATGGATGGAGACCACGCGTCTTAAAATAACTCTGAAGGAGTTTTGCAAAGTCAGCTTTGCTCTGAAGGAAAACTATCTTGTTCGCAGGTGCAAAAAGCTTCAAGGTTTTGACAGTGTGTCCAAATCTCTCTGAGCTAGAGATCTACTAAGAGATGGCCAGTCTCCAGCTTTCTCTCCCAACTGACGAGAAAGCAGAGCGGCTGGTTTATACAGTTGTTATCCATAACTTTGTTATCTGTTATCCATTACCAAACTTACCAAGAATCTCAGAAACACACGCTCTGAGACGCAGAGTCTCTGAGTCTAGGGACAAGGTTAGTTATGTGTCATGCTTTCTTAATTTTACTTCTTGTCTGGTGTGTGAGCAATGGTGATGACCTCATCTAGTAAACATACTAAACCTTTAACACAGATTCATGACATGTCATTGCTTATAATAACAAAAGTTCATAATGACTATTTTGAATTATAAGATCTTCTTTTCTTTTGGAGAATAAAAAGTTTATCTAAACAGTTCACTTGTGAGGAACCTTGGGGAAAGGAATACTACTGTTCATCTTTATTATTTGATGAAGCTGTGGTCCCGCTGATGAAGGCTGTGATTAAAGACACTGTGTACAGACTCTAGTCTCCAGTCAAGGGAAAATACAGTATAATGTAACATAGCCAGGGTTAGATGACCTAATCTCAAAATCAGGCCATTTCGTGATGTTGCATCTTCTCCTCCAAGGAGCTTTGTCAGTTCTAACTGGAATATGGGAGTCAAGCTCATAAACTGTAGCTGTCTATTGTTATTTAACGACCAGAAACTACTCTTGAGTACCCCTCCTCACCATCCCCTGATGAGTCATTGTGTTGATTAGATGCAGGAAGGTGTGACCTATACTGAAACTGCTTAGGAATGAGATCCAAAGCCGCATTATAGGTACTGGAAAGGTGAAATCTAAGCCCCTCCCCTATTTAAAGTGGGATTTTCACGTTTGACATAGCTTCTTTTACTCCTCTCTCAAACCATCTACCTTCTCTGTCCAGAATGTGTCCTTTGACATCTTCAAAGGTGTGTCCTTGTCCTTCAGTTGTAGGTGGACAGCAGAGTCTTGACCTGAAGAGGTGGCTCTCCTGTGTTGTGCCATGCTCTTGTGTAATTGTTGTTTAGTTTCCCCGATATAAGGATCTGGGGTCTCATTTATAAAACATTGTGTAGAATCCTTACTAAAACCTACTTAACCTCAGCAAAAAAAAATGTACTTACGCCAAGTAAGTTTGTGACCTATAAAACATGGAGTACACACAGCTTCACGCAATCTCCGCTTTATAAATCACACTCTACCTAGAAATGTTCTCAGGTGTTTCTGGATCACATCCTACCCTCAACACGCCCACTTTCTGCCATAAATGGTCAATGTAAAGTGCCTTGTGGATCTCATGCATATGCATAAGCCAGCTCGTTGCAGCATTTCACCATTAACGATGGTGACCGCAGATCAAGGAAGCGCAATTTCACCGAAGCAGAAATTAAGGTACTTGTGGGTGAGGTGGAGAAATGAAAGGAAGTGCTTTTGCAAAGCAAAGAAGAGAAAATCCACGGAGTGGCACAGCATTGCTGATGCCGTCAATGCTGTGAGTTCTTAAGAGAGATCTGTGGCAGGTATAAAAAAATGATCCGATCTGAAGGTGGAGGCAAAAAAAGATGTTTTGCCACTGGCAGAGGCCCTGGCACCTCTGATCCCCCACCACTCGCTGTTAGGATCTCAGCAGTACTCTGACTGGCAAGCGTGCATGGCATCGTGCCGGAGGAGGAGGGAGACAAACCATTATAATCGATAGAAGTTCATTCACCAACTGGCTTGGTCTATATCTAATCAAAATATTAATATTTAATTTAAGAGATTAAAATTAATAGTGTAGCGACATGAAGGCCCTTATTTTGTGACCCAAAGGTCACACTTCCCCAGCTAGGTCACGCTGTCCTGGCTGAACTTCTGTCCCACAGATTATCCATCACAGGAGACGTAGAGTCTGCTAAAACCATCTTTAATCTGACTGTCTTTTATCTGTCTGCTGTTCCTCCGCAAGATGAAGGGCACTTCAAGATTTAAAATAATCATTTTAATAAACTCTTTACTGTTTATTACAAGGTTCATAAATAATCATCATGGTTCATTATAAATGTATTTAATTAATGAGATGACTTATTATTCTTTGGATTAATAATAATTATTCTTTATGGTAATCAGTAATGTTTGATCGGTAACCAGAGGGTCATTTGCACTTGTACACACCATGCAGAGGGGACTGAATCAGGGTAAAGGTAACTTGCTGTCACATGTCTTTGCTCCATAACAACAAGCTTCCTGTCTCTGAGAGGGTGTGTCCTGAGGTTTTAATAAAACCAAAAACTCCTCAGTTCAAGTCAGTTCTGAACCAACCAGATACTCTCCGTGGCAACGAGAGTCCATGAGGATAAGGGTCGGCCACCCTGAAGCCTCCACCTAAGCTGTTCTATTACGCTGATAGAATCGCTCTGAATAAACGCCACCTGCACCAGCTGACGGAAAACTCCTTCAGAGTTATTGATTTTTTGAGACGCAACCAGTTTATCAGTCGTTGTGACCCGGAGACATCTCAGGACCGATTTGGTCGCACCAAGGCCCTTCTACCAACCTCGTGCTCGGAGTTCACCATCTCCACCTGACTTTCGGAACCAGAAGAGGGTCTCCTGACTGGGTGAGGTAGACACTTCCGACAGATGGCATCTGTATGCTGTTTTCTCTAAGAAACAACTTAGCTGCAAAACAACTTTTCCACCCAGAACGCGTTTCTCTTTCTGAAAGAAATCTTCTGAGATTCATCCACGCATCCAAACATACGCATTCCACTTTAGTTTTCATTCAGACACAGGTTTGCTTTTAATACCAAGTTTTAATGTTGAAGCTGTTATAAATTGTCATTTATCAATTGTCATTTTTAAATCATCTTTAAATTGTTAGTAATAAATTCTTAACTTTTTAAACCTGACTCTTCTTTGAAATGAAACACAGAATGGTGTAAATTTGGTTATTGAATAAGCAAAGATTCCATTAAGTCTTCTGTTTGGTAAATAAACTTTTGCTATTAATTACATTTCTTAAATTAAATATTAATATTTGGATTAAATATAGACCAAGCAGGTTGGTGTATAAACTTCTATCGATTGTATAAATATCCTGGATATTTATACATGATATGGCTTCATGTGCTAATATTGTTTGATCTTTCTCAGGATCTAACAAAGCTGATAGCAAACAGCGTTAAAACCTAGTATGTAGATTATCTACGCTACATAATTGGCGAGCCCAAGCCAGTCTTTTTTAGATCAAAACACTATTTTGTGTTTCATTTTAAATATTTTCTAAAAACGGGAGCTATTTTCTTCCTCCGGAACTTCCGGGAGGGACATCCAGCAGCTTATGTGATTGTGGAGCAGAAGTGGAAACATGTCATTTGTTATTGTAGTAACATACAGAGAGCCGAAGCAAAATCAGAGACAATCAATCAATCAAACTTTATTTATATAGCACTTAATCATGCAATACATGCAACTCAAAGTGCTTAACAAATTAAAAAGGCCCCGCATACCCGTATTCCCTCCCATCCCCAGATTTTTAAAAACTGTCAGACAATAAAAACCCCTTCACGACACTCATCCTCCAGCACACGCGCGCGCGCGCACACACACACACACACACACACATACACGCACGCACACACACACACACACACACACACACACACACACACACACACACACACACACACATACACGCACACAAGATGGGTCTTGAGCCTGTTTCTAAAAACATGGACGCTCTCTGCAGCCCTGAGGTCCCCTGGCAGCTCGTTCCAGAGGCGAGGACCGTAAAATACTGGAAGGACGCCTCGCCGTAATATGTGTCCTGACTTTAGGGATGACAAAGAGACAGCTGCCAGAGGAGCGCAGAGACCGCGTGGGTACATACGGTATACGCAGCTCTGAAAGATAAGAAGGCCCAAGACCGTTAAGACACTTAAAAACTGTTAAAAGTATTTTAAAAAGAGACAAAGTAAAAAGCAACAAAGGTGGATCTCTGGGTATAAAGAATGATGACCCGCACTTGTATAGCGCCTCTCAGAGTAAGGACTGCAAAGCGCTTTACACTACAGTGTATCATTCATCCATTCACACACACATTCACACACTGATGGTGATGAGCTACAGTATAGCCACAGCTGCCCTGGGGCGCACTGACAGAGGCGAGGCTGCCGAGCACAGGCGCCACCGGGCCCTCCGACCACCACCAGCAGGCAAGGTGGGCTAAGTGTCTTGCCCAAGGACACAACAGCAGAATTCTCTGTCCGGAGCCGGGATTGAACCTGCAACCTTCCGATTACTGGACAACCAGTATATAAGAATCTACCAAGTGGAGAAGAAAAGAAATCTAAATTAG